GCTTTGGGTCAACCAACCTCACCTTTTAGGGTTTGGGGTTTCCCAACCATTCCTTGTGATTGGTTAGGGTGTCAGCATCTCCCTTTAGGGTTTTGGGGTTTGTGAATAGCAGCTTCTTTGCAGGCTTTGGATCAAGCAACGCGTGTTTTTAGGGTTTCGCGGCCCGCGGTCCGCGGCCCAGCCTTGTCCCACCCGCGGCAAGCAGCTTCTTGGCACGCTTTGGGTCAACCAACCTCACCTCTTAGGGTTTGGGGCTTCCCAACCATTCCTTTTGATTGGTTAGGGTTTCAGCATCTCCTTTTAGGGTTTGGGGTTTGTCAATATCGCTTCCCAAGCATTCCGTGTAATTAGGGTTTCAGCATTTTGTTGATTTTAGGGTTTGAGGTTTGTCAATAGCAACTTCTTGCAGGCTTTGGGTCAACCAACCTCACCTTTTAGGGTTTGGGGTTTCCCAACCATTCCTTGTGATTGGTTAGGGTGTCAGCATCTCCCTTTAGGGTTTTGGGGTTTGTGAATAGCAGCTTCTTTGCAGGCTTTGGGTCAAGCAACGCGTGTTTTTAGGGTTTCGCGGCCCGCGGTCCGCGGCCCAGCCTTGTCCCATCCGCGGCAAGCAGCTTCTTGGCACGCTTTGGGTCAACCAACCTACCCTTTTAGGGTTTGGGGCTTCCCAACCATTCCTTTTGATTGGTTAGGGTTTCAGCATCTCCTTTTAGGGTTTGGGGTTTGTCAATATCGCGTCCCAACCATTCCGTGTAATTAGGGTTTCAGCATTTTGTTGATTTTAGGGTTTGGGGCTTGTCAGTAGCAGCTTCTTTGCAGGGTTTGGGTTAACCAACATCTTTTTTCAGCATTTCGCGGCCCGCGGTTCGTGGCCCGTGGCCGCGCACGGCCACGCGGGCCGCGGCCCACAGGCCGCGGGCGGCTCTGATGCCCACGGCCCGCGGCCTGCACCGCAAAAATCCTCTACCCAGTCCAATCGCTTTGGGGTTTGACAGCCACTTGGGCAGTGTCCACCGTTCCTACCTGGCCTTTGGTTAGCCAAGCATCACTTCTTCTCCGGCTTGGCTTCAGAGTTCTTCTTGGTTTCGGGTTTGCCCACTAGTGCCACTATCGCTCCTTTCGAGGAGGTTGGCTCTGCCGCTAACATGCTTTTGAAACTTCACAGCAGTGCAATCGCACTTTTCAGTCGATGGTCTTCGGCCATCGATTGCATATCGGAGTTTCCAGTGGAGACAAGTGCATGATGTCCAGTGCAGGAAGGGACAGGGCCAACTGTTTGTATGGCGGTTTCACAGCAGATTGAGGGCTTCAGTCCTCAAGTCCCCCAAGTGGTTTGGGTTCACAGGATTTGTGGCTACACCTTGCGGCTTCCGATGCCTACAGGTTACCGTGATACGGTCAGATATGTTTAATCCGCAAAGGGACGTGCAGAACCACTTCATGCGAGCGGTGCGGGTTGAGCAAGCGCGCGCACACAAACACACAGACACACTGATGCTTCAGTTGTTTGTTTAGCAGTTCGCAGTAAATGGAATTAGGCTGGCAGGATAGAAGTGGTTCTATTTGCCTCAGGACTCACGTACATGCATGGCACCGTTTCTTGATCTTCGTCGCCCTTACAGGCTCTGCTTGTGGCTGTTCTTGGGACAGACTGACAAAGCCCAGACGGCTAGGTGGACTCTAGTCCAGGAATGTCCAAAAGTTGCTAAAACTTGGAAGCTCCCTTGTGTTGGACACAGCATCAGAAATCCTTTTATCACCCTTGGGACACGGAGCCTCCATGCCATCGCAGCCGGGCTCTATTTCCAAGCGGGCGGCCCAGAAGAAGCGATTTCCCCGCCTGTGCTTTCTCGGTCCCCGTTTCACATCTGTTGAGTGTCGTCCTCTGACAGTTGCAACCCCTGGATTTCACCCCAACCGCACTGCCAGGTTTGGACCGGATCTTCGAGAGGAGGTGTCGGACATCAAGCCAAGCATCTCGTGTTAGACACGGCACCATCGATTCGTGGCAAAAGCGGAAAGGACCGATTCGAATGTAGACCCTAAACCTTCATCCAAGACCCAAGCCCTAAACCCCTTTTCGATTTGGGGTCGGTTCTAGGTTCGTTTTGAGAGGTACAGGCTCGGGTTTGGAGGCTATAGTTCATGTTCATGGTTTGGGTTTAACATGAATCAAGATTGCACGGAGTTGCAGAGAGAAATTGTTGTTCTGAAGAGGCTGGCACAGGAAGGGGCCCGTGGGTGTCTGCAGCTGTTGAGAGCTCGCTAGGATCGGCGGATGAATCCGTGCGAGGCATCGGATGGGCGGCACGGAGGGCCCGGAGTGAAGAAGGCAAGGCTCGAGTCCTCGGTTGTGAAAGTTGCTGGCAGAAAGCTTCGTGCTGGAACGGTTCCCTGGCGATGGACTGCTGGAAGTTCTGTTCAGGTTCTGCTTATCGAGGGCATAAACACACCAGGCAAATGGACTTTCCCGGCAGGTTCCCTGGATCCCGGTGAGGAGGTGGCGAGTTGTGCTGCCCGCGAGACCCAGGAAGAATGTGGAGCGAGTGGGACTTTGGGATGCTTTCTCGGAACCTTTGACACGGAGAAAAATCGGTCATACATGTTTTTGATGTATGTGCAACATTTGGAAGATGACGGCAATGAAGCTTGGCATGATCCACATTCCGCGTACGACACCAGTCTGAGACGTCGCAGATGGTTGGATGTCGAGGCTGCGAGGCCCCTGCTGAAGAAAGATGGGCCACAGGTCTTGGAAGCTTTTTTGTCCATTCCAGAAGAGAGGCGGCAGGATGCCCGGTATAGAGCGCTTCGCAAGAACTCAGAGCAGCCTCGATTTCTTGTGATGGGAGCCCCAGGCACCCTCCGAGACCACTGCGCGCAATGGGGGTCCATTTTGGAAGTGCCTTCATCTTCAGACTCTCTCACCGAATCTCAACTATTTGCAGCCGTTGCCGCCGCCCTGTGGGAAGCTGACGCAGCAGTTCTGTGTGGTGGAGCGGACATGTTATACATAGCTGGTATCTCAGCCAGGCAGGACTTACCGGTACTTCTCATCACTGGAGAGCATGTGCCTGGCCTGCTCTCTGGAGACTCAAGAATTGCATCCTTCGCGCTTGAAAGCGAGAGCAGCTTGCTACGTTTTAGCAGCATTCCAGTCGTTCCTGTTACGTCCATCGCTTTCTGGGAAGGAGTTTGCGGGTTGTGCGACACACAGAGCCGCCTTGGATCGTTCTCAGGCGAAACTACCTTCGCAGCAGAAGCATGCAGTGTGGCTCTCAGAGTACAGTCTGCTTGATTCGTAGATTGCAGCTTGCAGTCTGCTGATTGTCTTTGCACCCGAACTGAGGGCGCATCGATGGTTTCATGAAGCAGCTCCAGACTGTCTCGAAAGTCTGACTGGTCAGTGCTGGCCCTTGATGCAGCAAGCAAGAATGGCAGGACAGCGACATGCATGAGACCCATACGCCATACTCTGGTAGGCTTTCAGGACACTGGAAGTGCCGGTGCTGCCTCAGTTCTCTCCGCCACGACGCAACGAGTCGGACGAATCTGGAACTAGTCTTGCAGAATTGCTGCCGGCACCTGTGGCTTCTGTCTGTGTTTTGTGACTGTAAGGGTACCTGTCCATGTGGTACCGGGCCTCGGGATTGAAGTGTGATCTTAGCATGGCATGAAAGCTACTCCAACAAGCACCACACACTTGGACCTTTGTCACATGTGCTGCACGTAGCATTGCACGTGTCAGGCAGACCAGTGATGGCTCAAAACTTCTGGAACTGTTCAACACGGTGGATCATGGAGCATGATTGTGTGTTTGTGCAGGATTTCAGGAGGCAATGTGTTGAATACATGATTCTGAACTGGGCATTGCTGAGAGCTGCAATGCATCCTTCGCTCGCCGCAGCCTCGACGAGGACTGGCTAGGCTTGACTTCGCTGTCACTCGGCCTGTCAAGGTGAGTGGCGATGCACGAAGAGCCCGACTGTAACCAGCTGAGGTAGGTCTTCGAGAGGCAGCATCGGGAAGCAAGGCTTGGATATGCTTGCCTCGGCAGGCAGCAGTTGCGCGGAATGATGGGAAGAGAACCAGGACCTGCCGACATCAAAATCCGGACAGCCGAGAGCCGTGTGCTGCAGTCGGACAGCAACGAAGTCAAGGATTGTGTAGGAGATCCAAACAAATCCGAGCACATGAGGATGTCTCGCTTGACCCAGAATCCAATTGAATTTGAATTTGAGAGCACATGGGCCAGGAAATCTCAACTCTGCGACAGAAGTGTAAAACCCCTTTTCAGCCGTAGCTTTTGCTGCAGATTGGGTGTCGTGGCTGTCCTAGATCTGCTTGCACTGCTAGGTAGTGGCAACAAGCCTCAGCATTACCGGGCCTCATGCGTTCTCTGATACTTGAAGAGGAGCGACTGTTGCCTTAGTGGACACACATCTCTAGGCATTCTCTCGGAATGGCTTTGGCCGTAAGCCTCCGGACAAGTGGGCCACGTGTGAGTCGCAGGAACTTGCTGTTTCAAGCGCTTTGCCAGCCGTGGGCTACTGGCATCCTCGGTGTGGGTGCCAAGGCGATTGCGCATGTGAAAGCGGTGTGCTTGTTTTCGATCTCATGTTCGGCACAGGCAATGGCTTGCATTGCTGCTGGACCAATGTAGCTTACTCGCATCGGCGAACTGTAGCATTTCGTCGGCGGACCCGATCCAACGTTGGACAGATGAGGTGCAAGCGCCGCTGTGGTTTTTCATCTCATGGCTTGTCCAGACACTGTTATCGTCAATTTGACGGCGTTGCACCCAGTGGTCAGCTTCGTCGCACGTCACTAGATTTGCGTGCCCCGTGCCGTGGCACCTGCGATAAGAGAATCCGAGGCGGTGGCGAGCGTGCTTTTTTATAGAGAGGTTTTCCCAGATCTTCACATGAACCTTACGTGCGCCCCTTACTGCTGTGTTTTTGATGCTCTGACATCCCTGTGGCAGCCTCCCGTTTGAGGTGGACCGTAGTCGGTTTCGCACTGGTCTTCCCGTTGCAGACCGCTATCAGGCCCCGAAGTTGAAGAAAGTCCAGGATAATTGCCCGCTATGTTTTGTATGCGTACGGTCGATTTTGAGGGGCTGCAGGGTAGGCCTTTCAAGTCGCTTTCACACTTTCCATTTTCGCACACTGCGAAGGGAAGCTTTCAAGCGAAGAGAGGCAGGTAATCCGGACGTGTATGCACAGATGCTCTGCAACGTGCTCTGTTCCGCCCAGCAAGCGCTCATGGCCATCAGCGACTTCCGAGCGACGTTGCATGGTACTCAGCAATTCACACAAGTTTGGCATCGACGAGAGTGGCAGGTTGATGGAGTCTGATAGCAATCCCACTGGAGGATGAACGTGTACTTGGCCAACCAGATTTGGGACTGGCCCGGCGAAGAATCCTTACAACGGATTGCTTGGACCAGTGGCAAGTGAAACTGAAAGAAAAGGTGCAATCGTGCTCCGTTGAGGCTGATGCTTGGTGCGGCAGAGCCGAAGACAACGTGACCGGGCCATAACGACTGTCAGCATGTGTGATGGATCCAGGATCCAGATCCTGATTCTTCATTGAAGGAATGTTGTGCAGCGAGGCCCAAAGAGCAAGGTGGTCATGGAAAAAAGAAGGGGTGGTCCACTTGAAACGTGTGTGTGTGTGTGTGTGTGTGTGTGCGAGTGCTTTGTGCTGTGCTGCGGCGCTCCGCAACCCATTTTGTCGAAGGTCTTTCAAAGATACGCCCCTCCATCCCCGGCATGGACCACGGGTCCTTGCCTCAGCTCCAATCGGTGGGTGCTGTGCTGGCATACGCAAGCAATTTGGAAGAAGCCTGTGTCAAGTCGTGTGGAATGGCCCTTGAACTAACTTTGGGTTCTTTTGAGCTATGAGGAGGGAAGATGGTAGCATCGTACATGGGCTGGGAGTGCTCCTGAGGTTTTCAATCTTCTCATCAGGCTGGTCGAAGCCATGCAGGCGTGAAGCTGAGCTTAGCTTCCAGTCGCGTTTGCGTTCCTTAGCTCCCGGAACTTGGGAATCTTCCCAGCGCAGCAGATAAGACTTCCCAGAGTGTTCAGCAGAGTTCGGAGTGGCTGTTGAAGGCGGTTCTCCTGCTGCTAGCAGTCTGAATCAGGATCGGGTTTCAACGTCCTTTCCCAGAAATTTCAGGGCCGCCATAGCTTTGTGGATGTTTCTTCGAGAGAGCGCCTCCCTTTCCGAGGAACTCCTGCTTGTACCGCGTCGTGGACGCAGTCGAGACCGGCTTGGCTTCTGTTTTTGCTTGCAGTCTGTTTCGGATCCAAGAATCTGCCGAAGTTTACAAGCGGCTTGCATCGCCCAGGCCAGGAATTCTTCCATTGCGTTTCTCCAGAGAAGGAGATGGTGGAGGTTGGCAGTTTGCCAAGCTCCGTGGTTCCTAGGACATTATTTGGCTTAGTTTTGCATCTAATGTTGCCTCTGATTCGGAGCTTCTGTTCGCGATGGAGACCAATGCATCCGGAAGTTACATGACATTACATATCGATTTAATGATTCGGTTTTGACCTACCTTGGGCCTTCCAGTTCGCTGCCGGGATGGCCCATAAATCATGATTTATTTGCGTAATTTGGCGTCCTTATTGGTAACCACTGGTAATGTGGTTGGTTCTTATCAGGTTCGAAGAAAAGCTTCCTAGCCTTGCGTGGGGATCTTCTTAGAACTAGGTTGTAGTGTTCTACTCATTTACAGCTAATTGACTTTCAAGTTCATGGTTTGCAAGGCCAACAGTAGAACCAGCATTTACCGTATTTAGGAGTAGGAATTTGGGGGCCATGTCCGAACATGCCTTGGGTTTCTTGTGAGATTCATGTAAAGAAAGACAGAGCAAGCAAACGACAAAGTTAAATCATGATTCAACTGGTGATGTTGGGATTCTCCAAGCATGTAATGACGACCTCTTGATTGATTGTCAGCTCGTCTCGCCTAGTCTAGTCTGTCATAGCATAGTCTAGCCGCCTGGCCTAGCCTAGCTAGCCTAGGCTAGCCTAGCGTAGCCTAGCCTATGACAGAAGCCCAGAAAAATGGAACATGTCCATCCTCATGCCCTCAAATTAAAGCGTAAGGAATCCTAGCGCCTGGTTTGTCTATAGTCTAGCGTCCCATAGACACACCTGCACACAATGCAGTAGACGAGCAAGCATAGGGATGGTCTTGGGAGGCAATTAAATGATGATTGATCGCTTCGTTCTTGCCAACTTTTCGGGACAATTAAAGTCCGGATAAGTTGCATTCACGTTTGGTCACTGATTCAGATCCATTCAATCTCGATTCACTTGTCGTCAAGAGTTGGGGTAGTGTAGGAGCGAGAACTAAGTCCCGATTTAATTGTGCCATTAAGGTAGCAGGACAAGCATGGAATGGAGCGTCGTGCAACGTGCGAGAGCCAAGTAAGTCATAAGTAAATTGTGCTGGGCCTACGGGGTCCAAGACGGCCCGATGCCGAGCAATAAACTCCGGAGTTAATTTTTGTTTTAACTCTTGGATTCACTGTCTCCGGTCCGCAGTCGCTGTCCAGTCTGAAATTCCGTGACGCACGAATCTTACAAAAACTAGTATGACCCATCTTTTCGCATCTGTTCAGTGTCCCGTGGAAGGACGCGGAGCTGAAGGGTCGCTCTGCAGTGCGGGGGCCCTTGAGTTGACAGCTTCATGATAACAGCTCCTTGGCCCCTTCAGGTTGAAGTTGCTCGGCCGCCTACATAGAGCGACGGAGGTGAGAATCTGTGCTGAAAGTATCGCCTGGGACGCAGTGTCTCGTGACAGGAGCTCAAGGCCGCAGGCATGCCGGCAAATGAGGCCTTGTCCTTGGCAGTCATGGCGTCTCTGAAAGGCTGCAGTGGGGAAGAGTGCCAAGCAGGCGAGCCGGATCAATCAGTACAACATGTTCTTGTGTCGGGACTTCGAGCGATTGTGGAGCCCTGGCCTGAGCCCCCCCTGCGGTGGAAAGCAAGAGCTGAGTCAGGATTTGAGAGGGCAGCACCTACTTGCACTCAGATCTTCCGATGAGGTTTCAAAACGTACCGCACCCCGACGACACTCAGATCAGTTTGCCGTGCTCTCGTCTCAGTGTCAGTGATTGCGCCCTTTCGCATACCCCAGCATTACTCTGTCCATCTCTTTCCTGGCTTGCCGCGAGGTAAGCATTCAAGTGTTTCCCTTCTTCTTCGGGCACCTAAGCTGCAACACTCTGCTCTACTTGCTTGTGCTGGCAATAGATCTCGGATGCAGATTTTTGCGTAGCTTTCGTGGTAGTGTGCTGAAGTGCGAAGATTGCCTGAATGCGAGGCCATATTATTTGCATCTTATTAAGACCTACAGCGCAGGTCTCAGTGTTGGTTGCACGTAAATCTTTGCTTTCTCGCGGCTTGTCAAGCTGAGGTCCAGACTCTGACGTGACGGATGAAATCTTGCGGCACCGTTTCATTTTTGCTTGTTTGTTTTCTTGTCCGCCTGGCACGCTTCATGCTGCGCAACCACATCGCGTGCAACTGTGTCGGTTTCCAGGTTTGACCTCAACTACGCTTGTTGCCCTTCTGAATGTCGTATCTTGGCTGGCTTTTATCCGTCTTGGTACTCAGAATCAAGAGTCTGTTCTAGACTTTGCAGCCAGCTGCCTGGATTAGGCCGTTGCCCTGGAAAATCCGTTCAGGCCTTCGGGAGTGCTGTTTTGTTTGCGGCAGAAGCAGCACTTTTCGTAGCGACGAATGCAACTGTGCATGCGTAGGAGGTCACTGGAGTAGTGCTGAGCAGTTGTTTCCGCCCCGCCCGCTTCAGGCTGTGCTGTTTCAGTGGAAATGGGGTGGCTCTGTCACCAAAATCACCAAAGTTCTCGATGCTAGATTTTGACCTCTCGAGTGTTGCAATCTGCGACGTTGGACAGGCCTGGCTCGACCGATACAATTCGTGTGCAAGAGGAATTCCAGCTGTGTCGAGAGGCCTTTGACAACTGACACTCTGCTTTTGCAGTCTTTTTGCTACCTCAGTCGATTGCAAGGCACTTCAAGAGGCGATGCAGGATCAGGAGGCCGCGTGTCGCATTTCACTTCATGTTTCATCGTCATTGACACGATTTGCCACCAAGGAAGCATGGCACGAGCGCTTCGACTTCGAGTGGGAGGTGAGGAAATAGAGCTGACTTCAAAAGTTCAGAAGATTTCAGAAGGGTGCTCGCGCCATGCAGACAATGCCAAACATCTTGCATGCTTCTGCCAGGTCTTGCGTTCTCCTGGTGATGACGGCCGGGAATCGAACAGTCAACAGATGTGTGCATGGCAACGTGTCTCGTGCCAGGAAGCACCAGTGACGGAGACGCGTGAATGTGGCTGCAAAGCTGGCCATGCCCTTCGCGACACTTCCGTGGTGGCAGTTGCCGGACTTTAGAACTCTGGCGAGGTGTGGAAGCCCTTGACGTCCCAGCAGGGTGGCAGGGGTCGGTCAATTCGCACACTTCATCTTGTCTGTCTGCCTTGGAAATCTTGAAACGTTCGGAGTACAAAAATCGCCACTTCAGAGGGTGGCGAAATTGTCAACCTGGTATTTTGCTGTGGCTGCAGGCTGTAGTCTGTACTGATCCGTAGGGCTGGACGGATGATGCTGGACTCGACGCATGAAAGAAGCAGGCCTTTGCCAATGCACGCCAATGCTCAGCTTTGCCAGGTCCTTTTCTTCACCTTGACGTCCAAATCCCGTAAGAAAACACTGCTTGCCAGGTGTCCGCACTGCTCTGCAGCGTGTTTGAACGCAAAAGAACACCTGGCGAACCATGGACCTTCTAAGAAGATGTGTATGGCATCTGCTTGTGCCAGTCGCGTCATGGATAGTTATCATTGAAGAGAACATTAGCGCTGACTCGTCCTTAGCAGCAGATAGCCGGTAGCCCGCAACATGTTGGCAATGTTTCGTTTTCCAAGCTGATCCAACCTGATTGTGGGAACGTGGGTCCGGCGCCGCCGCCAATTCATCACCACTAATGTAAAGGCCCAAATGTGCCCTCTGTGTTCCTGCTTCTTAATCCGACCTGCAAAGTGCCGTGCTGGACCAACAAGCTTCAACTGGCCAACCATGACCGGAGATAACTGTGCAAACACATACCTGTAAGAAACATAAATGCACATGAGCTTGGAACGGTGATCTTAAACGACTCTGTCTTGGTCCCAACGTTTCATTTATGTATGCATGCGTGTCTATCGTATGAGTGTCGAATGAATGAACGAACATATGGTGCCGTGTCGCGTGTGGGTACACCCCCCTATGTGGTCATACGGTGGTAAATGGCCGCGTGGGTTTTCGCAAGCAGCACATTATTCGATTGTGCTTTTAACCCACGCCTGCCAGCAAATATGAGCAATTTGCATTTATATATGCTTCTTGAAGTGACTATGTAGGATCATACCCTGAAACTTAGGGCGTTGCTGTAAATA